ATGCTAGGGTGTAAAGGGTTAATATGATCAAAGAAACAACATACCTTTAAGCAACGATCCAGTTTTGCCTTCAAAGCTTCACTTGACGTCAATATCTCTTTGTACACATTTAATCGTTCACAGTCAGAACACTCCTTTGGCAAAACATAAAACTTTTCTTCTGAATCTGCTAAAGAAGAAATAATAAAAAAATATAGTATAATTAATAAAAAAATTTAAAGAGAACTTTATGAAATCATAAATATGCTTTCCTCTGACCTGACTGCTAGCTGTGGAACACAACTAATGAACCACCTGATCAGAAGATGTAACATGACCACTGACCCAATTAGTCATAAATTACTCACTTGAAACTCAAAACCCACTGAAAAAGCAAGCTGAATATAGTACACAAAATAGGTGGCCAGGGAAAGTAATTCGTCACCAACTTCTACAGGTGACAGGTTTGTTTTACAGATTGAGTTGGTCATAAGAAATACTTAATGTTTTCATTTACCTTCTACTGGGAGAACTTTGTCTTCAAATCCACAGGCAAGAAGGAATTCAGTGGCACCTTTAATGGGCACTACACGTTCCTTGGTAAAAAAAAATCAAAAGTAAGAACTTTAAGGGACTGTATTTACGTGATTGGGAGTAAATTACATCATATGGCATTGCCCTACACAGTAAACTACATTGTACCAGTTATATTAAACTGAGATACAAAGTATGAAACATATGCAACTCATGAATTAAAACATGCCTTTAAGTCTTACCTGGAATATTTTGTTGCTTTGCTTTACTTTTCTATATTTTTCCTCTTCTGGATTCTTACAGATATTATCAAGGTATCTAATAGAGCATGATTCATAGAAGAGTCATAATCATTGACATAAATTGAGTTTAAGATAATTAATTTCAATCATTTAGTTCAGTTGACTTTCAAACAAGTTTAAAGCATATTTGAAACAAAAACAAATTCATACCTACAGATCAGGTCAATGCAGGCTTTAACCTTTTCTTTATCCTTGTTTAGGGTGTGTATCATGGAACATGAGGTTGTCAGCGGTTCATCAGGATATTGCTGAAGAAAAGAATGGAATTTTATCATCATGATGTATACAGGACTAACTGACTGTATAATCTACCTCGGAGGTAAATTATTCAGTCAGACTTTCAATCTTTCAATCTTTATTTAATCACTCCTTACATCTACAAAATTAACCTTTAATCAATCAATTAAGTAATATATTAATCAGTTGATATAAATTGTCATTTAGTTTGTCAGTAAGTCAGTCAATCATTCAAGATGATTTTGTTTTTCATATGAGTTGATAACTTAAACTATCCATTGTAAAGAGTTTTTAAAGTTGAGCCTTTGAGCATTAGCCCTTTATTAGAATGAGTCATGAAGGGCTCTGACAAAGGGAAAATGCTGGCAATGTCAGCTTAAGAACTGTTCATACTGTATACTTTCTTTTTAGGTTATCAACTCAGTTGTTAAGACTGAGTTATCTTGAAATAACCCCAATAGTGCAGCAAAATGATCCTTTAGAAACTAGCCTCCTTTATTCAATAGTCAATTAGCCATGCAGTTAGTTAGTCATTCAATCTTTCAGGCATGAAGTAAGACAAACAACCAGTCTGTAGTTAAACCAACAGTTCTATGATTCTAAAATGAAATAAAATACCTTAGAGAGACATTCTGACATATGTGCATCTAATTCACTTTTTAAAACTGTAATTGGACACACTGGGCAAGAAAAATACACTCCTTCTTGAGACCGCACAGTTGAACATTCTACATGTGTTGGCTGAGGAAATAAAAAGACAAGTGAGAGTAAACTTATTTACTCAAACTACTGATGGTTCTCTTTTGTTTCTGTTTCAAAGATCTACCAACTTAAGTTTTTCAACCATAAAATGCATATTATATGATGGTATTTGTTGAAGCCAACCAAGAATTGAGAAACAAAAAAATAAATAACTCAGTGAGTTTATAATAAGCCACCCACTTCAATTAGACCTACTTTCCAATAGACTCCAGTCTACAAACACTGAAGAGAATTTCAAGTTTCCTGGCAATTTTATGAAAGGTGTAATGGCACAAAATTCACCTCAGCAGTAGATTGAACCTCTCTCTGAAGGTCTCTTTGATGACAGGCTTCTTGATATGCCAACTCCTGTCTCACTGAAAAGATACCAATCCATGTAATTTAAAGGTAATTGTGAAGAATAACTTAGTGAAAAAACCTCTTGGTTGTCTAAATAGTGATAATTTTTGTATGGGCCAGCTGGTAACCTGTCAGTAACCTATTGAAGATATGCTAACAGCCTGCATTATCTGTCAGCTGACAGTTGATTGACAGTCAGTAGACGGGAGCTGTTCTTCCCAGTTATCAGTTTACAAAGGCCTTTTCACAAAATCAGTGGTATTGATGTGCTCAAAATGACTTTGTCTGGTTTTATGTAAAATCCTATGAGCATTTGTTACAAGCCTCTTTGTAGCTACTTCTCAAAAAACCATGGTAGGGGGATTTTGATAATTTTGAAATAGTTGTCTAAGCTAACTAAAGTAGGTAGGTAAGAAGGTAAAGTTGCACTACAACCAAATGGCTCATTCAGCCAGAGCTCATCCAGCTTTCTGTTGCATGAAGCAAATAGGAGTATTTCTTCTCCCTATGCATGAAATGCTAGTTCATCAAGGCAACCCTCAGGATTTTCATTGGCTTTTCCTGACAATTCAACAGTACTCATTTCTACTCCTGAGTAGAGAGAAGCACTGTAGGAGTGTCATGTCCAAGAACACAACACACAATGACCTCCCTAAGTTTAAAACTGGGACTTATTGAACCCTGACTCTCGAACACAAAGTCTAGATCATTAATGGTTAACCCTTTCACTTGCAGATCAAATTTGTCATTTTCCTTACTGTCAACCATATAATTCTTACAGTTGTAGTTCAGAGAATTTAGTATTGGATCAACTGATTATCCCAAAATTGGAAGAAGTGGTAAAAGGTAAAGTTACCCACAAGTAACCATAGATCAGTCTACATTTGAGCAGCTGATCATGACAAAAAAATTTATCGAAACAATAACCTCAAACCTTCTCTTTTCAGCTGACTCAGGTTCAGTGCTGCTCCTGTACCACTGTTACTCTGAGATGTCCCTCCTTGTCCACTGTGTTTCCATGAAGCTGTGGCAGACTTTGGCTTCTTTACAGCATTTTTTTCATGAACTGAAAACCTTTCCAAAGCAGCCTGAGTGAAAAAGAAGAAACTGCTGGTATATTGCAGTATTTTGAATCCAATAATTTGCATGTGTTAGATTTGTGTACACAACAAGGTTCCTTAGTTTTGCTCAAAATCCTCAGCTGGGTCCAGATAACCCGACAATTGTATGTAATTACAAAAGAACACATCTTTATCTCTTTATATTACCTTCAGAGCAAGACAACTGCAAAAGCTTAGGTTTAGTGATATAAAACAAGGACAAAATGGAAAGAAAAACCCAAAAAGTGACCAAGACTGTTGAGAAGAGAGAAAATTTGTTAAGATTGCTCTCAATAAATTTTTCACCTTCAACTAACCTACTGGAAATCATTTCAGAAGACCTTGACAAGGGAAAAAATTCTGACAAACAATATCATCGATTTTTAAGATTCTGTATCAACCTCTGAAATTCCATGTTGACCTTTGAAAAGAAACGGAAGAAATAAAGGCGCAAGTGAGCAAATGAGTTAGTGAAGAGAAAAGATCAAATGTCTGTCTGTCCTGAAAGCACACTGCCACATTCTTATCTAAGTACAATGTTTTCTCCAAACGCTCGAGTAGAAAATGATTACAAATTTTTTAACTCACCTGCCCAGCTCTCTGTGCATCTGAGCTTGGGGTTGTCCGTATTGCAGGTGCAGAGGTGGTTGCCTGCTGTCGGGAAGCTGTGCTGCTGTCATCTGCTAAGGTATGGCCCTCACCTGCTTTCTTGAACTTATAATCTAACTTGGCTTTTTCGAAAAACTTTTTCATATTCAAATCATTGTTTTCAGGCACTGGTCATACTAAAAGAATTCGAGGATCGTACCTGTTAGATGAAACAATACGACATATAAATTAAATGATTCAATAAATTTATATATGGTGTTAAGTCGTTTTTTTAAATGAAGAGAATTTGTCGCTATTTGTGTTACAGCAATCAATGAAAATTAACTAAAAATGGGATAAATCGATCTCGGCTTTCAACACATTTCGCCTACATCATTCTAGGAAACATGATAATTTAATCCGAGGACCATTTCCAAATGTGTTCAATTCCATTTCTTCTAAGAAATGGTTCAAGTAATATGGTTAAGAATGAAATATCATGGAAGATTAAAACTATTAAGATTTCTACGCTATGTTGAGTAAATATATGTACAAACCTATTATTTCTACATTGCAGAAAACTTTCAGTTTCTTTCACAGTTGCACTGTCCTGCCGGTGAGGACATCGATGCCTCCTTCTTATTAACCAGCGGTCATTAATTAGCATGCGCAATAAAGCTATTCCCAGTACTCCTTATTTTACAGAAAAACAAGATGGCGGAACAGAAAGGCTCGGACATTCTGAATCAAGCGGACAGTATGTGGAAAATGTTGGATGATCTGGCTGATTCAGATCCTGAAGCATACAAGAAGTTTATTGATAAAACTTTGAAGGAGGGATCTACCTATTTTAAGCCACCTGAACCTTGTTTTTGTATCTCTACCACTTTGGTAAGTAACCATTAGAATTGCGCACTAGAGTAAATAACCAAACGAAAATGATTTACATTTAGATCCCTAAGATTAAGTTTTAGAGAAATTTTAAACTTTCATAAGTCCATTAGCACATTCTACCCTTAGATAAACGACAAGATTTGACTGATTGCTATGACATAGCTTGAGTGATAGTGTTGATTCTGTATCTATGAATTTTGAGGACTTCCTACTTTGGAAAATAAATTTAGTCCAAGAAAGCTATTTTTACAATTTTTTTTTCATAAATTTTGATAGAAATATATTTAATACACTGTAGCAATATCAGAGAAATCGTATGTGGAAACTTTTCACTGCTCTTATTTTTACAATGCCTTTACATTCACTCTGTATCAGCTGCATCCCAGATATTACACATTCTTTAAAGCAACAATTTACACACACGTCTTGGTTAAAGAAAGAAAGAAAGAGTGATTTCAGAATTTATCAGTCAGTTATCGTGAAGCTATCATCAACCTTTTTTCTTCATCTTACATGTGTCTTTGAAGAAGTTTGAGTTTTTTGTTCCTTAAATTACAGCTTCCAACTGTGATCACTCATGAGCTATTTGTGAACATCTGTGGCTGGGAACAGATGCTTGCTCCAAAATCTGAGAATGATGCAATACCTGTTATGGCTGGTGAAATAAAGGAGGTCAAGGATGGAGAGGCAACATATTCAGTGGTTGATGTAATAGTTCATCCTGTGGTCACTAAGGGTGTCATAAACAGTAAAGATCGTAAGAACCTCCTAGTTCATGTTGCTCTGGACTATTTAGAGAATGCCAAACAAATTCAAGTTTCAAGAAAGTACAAAAACCTCAAAAAGTCTTTTAAGGGTGATCCAAAAACCTTGCGAAAATATTTACGTCAAGGAAGAGAACAAGCATTGAATCCCACCAACTCTGAGGAACAAAGAAAAGGAGTTTCTCAGAGTCCAGAATCTCTTTTAAGACAACTTTCATCAATAACAGTTTCTGAAAGCCAACAAGATGGAAATGACCCAATAGACTTATTTGAGCGATTTGCAGAAAAACCAAAAAAAGTTCTCATCGAGGAAGTATCATCCACTAACACTGTGCCTATGCCAATAACACCAAGTTATGAAGTTTTGGAGAAGGATGCTGAGGATTCCAAGCCAAAAAGGATCATTGTCAAAGTAAACTTACCAAATATCATTTCATCTTCACAGTGTCAACTAGATGTGTGTGAGGTATGGATTACATTTAAATACTCCTTTTGGCAGGGGGTTGAGAGGGTACTCCTTCCTTCTTCCTCCCCTCCCCTCCCTTCCCTCTTATTTATGTTTGGAATTTTAGGTCATAGTTTTATCCCTCTTGCAGTGATAAAATGTAGGATCCAAAATGTACAACAAATTTACTTGAAAATGTTTTGGAAAATGTTTGAACTTTGAACATCATCTGGTGATAGGTAAACTTTGCATGAGAAGTGATTGATGTTTTTTTTCCATAGATATACCTAAGATTAATTTTGTACCAAAAATGGCCACAACTACCTTCAAACTTTTATTCTTTTATCGTAACTGCACATTTATATGTACAATTTTGTCCCCATCCTCGATCATGAAATCGCTAACTACTTAATAGAATTTATGAAATACCTTTTTTTCAGTATTTTTTACCTTTTTTTCCCTAGAGTGAAATGTCACTAGATTCCCCTGGAGTGTACAACCTTCACATCAAGCTACCACAGAAAATTGATCCTGAAAGAACTGATGCCACTTTCAACACCAACTCACACAAATTAATTGTGAAACTTCCAATTCAATCTTGATGTGGACGTTTGTTTTTTACAGATATCACGCTTCAAATGCTCACATGTTAAGTGTTCTATTTATCATTTAAGAATGTATTTAAAAAAAATGGTGTGTGATTTATATGGATTAAAGAAAAATCAACTCTAGCTTGACTTTTGTCTTGTTTATGATACAAATTTCAGTCAGCAACTTTCATCAATTTTTTCCAAAGGTTTTTAGTGAATTTGATGCTTAGTCTCCATAAGTTGTATGAGAGATGTCCAACTCTTTGCTGATGTTGGCTCAGCATGTGGCTGTTTTGTTGAGCCCTTCTAAAGTAGAGCGGTTTGGCCTCCTGTTTTCGTTGTTTTGCTGCCTTTATCGAGTGTCTCCTTTTGGGCCCAGAGAGGCACTGTTAGAGTTCTTATACCCAAGCAGCAGGATATTACTTTTTTCTCAATCAAGCCTG